TTTGTCGTCACAGCCAGCTCCGTGATGACGTCATCACGCTGCCGTGGGCGATGATCGAGTCGAGGACCACGTTGCATTCGCTCAACGCAGGCTTGTGAGTGTCGGTGAGGCGCGAGCGCCCCGCGGCAAACCAGCGTCAATCGGGACACTGAATCTAGCAAGTTTCAAGCGGCGCGCGTGGCCAGACGCAAGCCAGCGCTGCAACGCCGCGATGGCGCGAGGCGGAAAGTTTTCCTTGTCGTGAGGAGGGGCGAGGGAGAGCTCTGCCACGCTGTGCGCGGACGATGTCACGGCTTCGAGTAAGTCGTCCTCGGTCGGGATGCGCACGCGCTTGAGGCTTGTACAACGGGCGAGCATGCGGCAAAACTCATCGCGGTATGTGGGGAATTGGAGGTCACTCATGTCGACGGTCGTCATCTTGGTGGCCCACATCGCAATAAAGCTGCAGAAGGGCAGTCGAAAGGCAGGGTCGCCACTTGCTGGCCAGTGTTTGCTCAAGCAGAAACCGTTGATGCACGCAGAGTTGAAAAGCGAGATGGCGGCGCCGATACAGTCGATCTCGTCGTAGGTAGCGCTGTAGAGTGATGGTGTGGGCCAGTGCTTGGCGCCACCCGACATTTCCAACAGCTCGAGGAGCGCGGTCAACGCTGGCGTGCGCATGGCTAGCGGCATCGCTCGCACAAATGAGACAACATCGTCGGCATCCGACATGTACTGGAGAATGGTGACAGGCACGCCGTCGACATCGAGCACCGTTGGTCGACTTGGGCACAACCGCTGGGCCATGGCAAAAAAGAAAGTATTTGGCCGTTTACGGATGATGATGCGTTATCCGGATAGAGTGGAGACCAACGCTGATGTCATACCGCACCCGTGTACCGCACCCATGCCAGTAAGTTTAGCTTACAAGCGGTACTTCACAGTCAGTGCACGCCTCCTGTAGCCTACCGGCAGATTGTTCCGGTGTCCCAATACGACAGTTCATGCCACCAAAATTGACGAGACCAATACTTGAAATGGTGAGCTCAGACCACGGACTGAGCTCGGACGAGCATTTTCGTCTATTTAGAACACTTGGTGAATTTGACCTAGCCAGACTCGCCACCTATACTCAACGGCCGTTCATTTAAATTACCGTAAAAATTGATTTAACGAGCAGAGACGCTCTTCACTTGAGGCCAACACAATAGCTCCAATCCGCATATTGTAGTATTTTTTGGGAGCTAACTGGAGCTTGAAAACGAGCCAGGATTTAATGGTAGAAATACGGTTAAAATTATAG